TATTAGAATATGTAAACAACTCTCAACACTCAACAGTAAAACAATAAACAATCCCATTAGAAAGTGGTCAAAAGGCATGAAGGAACATTTTATCAGAAAAGATATACAGATGACAAATAAACATGAAAGTGTGTCTAAAAAAATGAAACTAACCATGTTGCCCATCGAAACTGAACTGGATAAAAAAAATAGTGGTACATATACATGATGAAATATTACACAGTTATAAAGAAGAACATAATTATGAACTTTGCAGCAACCCGGATTGATTTAGAGTCTATAATACTCAATAATTTAAAGAAAGAAAGTACTGAGTACCACTTGTTCTCACTCATAAGCAGACCCTGAAAATTTAACATAATACTATAAGAAGGTGATTGGCAGTAGTCGGAAACTGCCGGGATGGGGGAAAGCATAACATTAATAAATGTACCTGATCTCAAACCAGGCAAAGTGGGGACTAAAGTGAGGCCCAAACTTTATCTGTAAGATGACTACTTGTATACCTAATCCTGAGTTGTATCCCACCTCTTTAAAATAAAATAAAAAATAAACAATTTTTTAAATAAAAAGTACTCTCGCCAGGCTCGGTGGCTCAGCCTGTAGTCCCGCGCCTTTGGGAGACTGAGGTGAGTGGATTGCCTGAGCCCGCGGGTTCGAGACCCACCTGGGCAGCGAGACCTCATCTCTACAATAAATCAAAAAATCAGCTGGGCATGGTAGCGCATGCCTGTAATTCCGTCTACTCGGAAGACTGATGCAGATGATCGCCGGAGCCCAGCAGGTCGAGGCTGCAGTGGCCGGGAGCGGCCACTGCACTCCAGTCTGGGCGACAGAGTGAGACTCCAACTCAAACAAACAAACAAAAAGTAAACTAGAACAGAAAATTGTACCCAGACTAATTAAGATCTCTAAAAAGAGTTTAATCTTGCTACTCAAAGTAGTATTGAAGGGGCTATTCTCACACAGTACAATGACCAGCTTTATAGAAGAAATGCAAGAATCAAAAAGAGCTTGCGCTAAAAGCATGGTAAAAGAAACAACCTTCCTTCTGTTTCTGCTATACCAATCTTCAAAAAAAAGTTATTATTGATTATCATTTCTTTTTTTCTACTATTATCTCTTTTTTAAAAAAGTACAATCTGGCATTACAGTCCCAAGTTTCTGCTCATGAATAATCATATCAGTTGTCACTCAATTATCCCTTTCAACATTTAATCTAAATTATCTCCAACGCCTTGTTCTTTTTCTTTCTTTGAAGTTCTTCCTTGAATTTAAAAGTCACATTTTTTCAAGACGAGTAGGTTGATGGAAGATGGAGGCAGAGATTAAATCCGGGAAATCACTGATCAAGGATGCTTGGAATTCCTATGAATACAAATAGCCTATCAAGGTTAAGGAGGTTCGACTTGAGTTTAGAAAAAGGGAAAAATGCACTTAGTATTTTCTATGCCTATACAGATTTAAGGTCTTAGGTACAATTTGAAAGGTAAATTATGCAAATTCAAGTGTAGCTTTCTTTCATCTGGGTTTTTAAGAGCTATTTTTACTGTTTTTCCCCTATGTAAAACAAATCCTTAAAAATATATACTCTAAATAAACAAAAACTATTGTCATTAATGAGACATAGTCTCTTAAAATATTGGCAAATCTTCCAAAAATAGATGTGCTTCTAGGAAATGACCAGACAACAAATATTAACTTTAAAAAGTAACCATAAAATGTTGCTACAATATATTATCTCATTCAACAAATATTAATTGAGCACTTAGTATGGGTAACAGTGTATGGAAACACAGAGGGACACAGAATAAAACCTGGTTCGTAAACCACACCCATTTATGATCTGAAAAGGGATAGAAGCCTTAAATCCGTAAGTGACTGCCACAAGTTAGAATTACATCATTGCAACTTGGTGAATGGCCCAGAGCAAAATCTGTGCACAGAAGCATATCAAAAGAAAAAGCAAACAGTAGGCTGAATATCAGAGTGAAAGCACAGAAGACTGTTAGAAAGAGAAGAGATGTCAGTTCAACACAGTCCAGGAACAAAGATAGAGAATGTAGCAGAAGTAAATAGCATCTCTGGGTTATAAAGGCTATGTTAAAGGAAAGTGAGAGGTTGAGAAGCCTTAACTACAGCCATGAACAAACAACCCTTTAACAGCATTATTCTCTGATTCTGTTTACCAGCAAATTTCTGGTTATTAATTATAAAACCTATGCATAGAAAATCGGGAGATTGATGCCCTGCACAAAAAAGTAATGTTTTAACATCTGGGTAGGACTCCTGCATGGTGAATCAATAAACTGGCTGTCTTTTATACACTGCTCTCTTGTGAGTTTAGCTTTTTAATATGAGCCAGTCTCCTGGGTCACATTAACTGTAGGACACAGCAAACCTAAATTTCCAGATGTGAGGACAAGACCTTGAATCATATAAGGACATCCAAGTTGACTCTGTCTTGTTGACAGGTTGACCGGCTTTCTCCTGCATCACTTTTTCTACTTTATTATGGGCCATTTTGAAATTTTTATAGAAATATATCCAGATTACTTTAACAGAGTATGAGAAAAGTGCCATTATCACTTACAGTGATATACTCCAAATATAATCCAATATAAACCAAAAAGATTTCAGGAAGGGAAATGTTTAGTATTTATTTGTTTGTTTTGCTGTCGTTGTTGTTGTTTTTGAGTTGGAGTCCACTTCATCGCCCAGGCTAGAATGCAGTGGCATGCTCACGGCTACTCCAGTATGGACCAATTGGACACAGACGATCCTTCCACCTCAGCCTTCCAAGGAAGGCTTTGTAAAGAGTATGTCAATATTTCATCATCTTTACAATCTTAATCTTGAACCAAATCTAAAAGGCATTTTCTATTGACGTGCTGACAAGATGAAAGAGAAACTCAGACTGGAGTAACATCAAATATTTCCTTTGGGTTATATAAAATTAGGTGCTTTTAACAGCAATTTTCTACTTCTCATTATAATTTTGGAAATCCTTCAAAATGCAACTTATTACAATTAGAACATAACTTCACTAATAAAAACAGATATGGGGAGGATTGATACGTATCTATTCCCAAATGTGTCATCCAGTTTTGATCTAATTTGCATAATTATAATTTGAATTAAGCCATTTCCTTTTATAAGGTCCTGTCCTTGGATTTTTAATATATTCTGATAATTACCTCATCTATGCGAGATAAAAGGGAAGCGGGAACCGGTAGCTGCCTAGTTACACTTCATTCATGGTTACCACATCATCCATGATAACCACATAACCCTAAATTAATGAAGGCGTCACAGCTCCACCTCATGCAGAATAGCTAGAAATTTGAAAATCTCTATGGTTCCGAAGAAAAAAATCAGTAATACCTTATCACTGTGCATTCTGCCCATTTGAACCCCCAAATAAATGATAATTCACTTTCTCTTGGAGAAGAAAGATCCCTTCTGTCCACAGGAAGGACTCAACTATTACTAGAACAAAAATATTTTCAAGTTTAATAATAGCACAAGATTTCACTATAAAATAACGGAGAAAAAGAACCCAGAGAAAAGAATCTGAAAGAGAAATGAACTCATAGGAAATTCTATAGAAATGTAAATTAGTCTTTAACACAACTTTACATTACCAACACTCAAGCTAAAGTTCATAAAATCACACGTCTTTACATTAAAATTTCATTAAGCAATTTTGTGAACTAAAATTAAAGGATTTCGATTAGAACTTTAAAATGGCAAAGTCACCTCTACTTGTGCTGCCAAATGTGCTTTCTCCTTGTCTTTTCGCTCCACGGACCGCTTCACTTCCTCCAACTCAGATGCCACTGAACTGAAGCTCAGCTGCACTCTCAAATCTGACATCTGTTTCTCCAGATCCTGTTTTTCCCGCTCAACTCCTTAAAAGAGAAAATATAAAGCTAGACAGTTGTTCTTTATTCTCAGGAGGATATACTTGCAAATAGTACTGAGCCCTGAGGTCTCAAAATTCTATGTAACATAATCCATTTATTGACATTGTCACACAACAAACTTTGTCAGTCTACTGTCTCCGATCTCACACAGTTTTCAGATATATATATTGCTATGTCATCCAATATTAATTCACTTTGATACTAAAACTTAAAATGTTATCTGATTTCTAGTGCAATTTATTCCAGGAAAATTGTACTTTTTTTTCTTTAATTTTCCTCACATGTCTACGTTATTACCCCAAATGGTAAAACAAAAATACTAAAGAATTTTTCAATTATGCCACTCCACCTAACTAAAGTTACTTAAGTTTACCCAACAAAATGCTTTTCTTGCAACATAAATAACAAATGATGCTGTTAAATCTCTGATTGTCTATGACCACCAACTTGTTAATTCTATCAATTCTGGAGACTATTGGCTGAAATTATATCATTAAATAAGAGAAATTTACTTAGCATTTAATTCAACATGAAATACCTGGTCATATGGCACTATACCATCTTCTTCAAATATAAGGACAAATAACATAAAAATATATCCTCAATGAGCTTATATCCCAAGACTAGAGAGACAGGACATAAAGTACTGCCTTGAGTCTAAAATGTCAGAAATTGGAATACATGCTGTCATTTTAAAAAGCAGTTTTTAAAAAGTAGTTTTCTGAGCCGGGCTCAGTGGCTCAGCCTGTAATCCCATGCTTTGGGAGGCTGAGGTGAGTGGATTGCCTAAGCCCACAGGTTCAAGACCTGCCCGGGCAAGTTGGCGAGACCTCATCTCTACAATAAATCAAAAATTAGCCAGGCGTGGTAGCTCATGCCTATAGTTCCAGCTACTTGGAAGGCTGAGGCGGAAGGATCGCTGGAGCCCAGAAGGTCGAGGCTGTGGTGGCCGGGAGCGGCCACTGCATTCCAGTCTCTGTGACGGAGTGAGACTCCAAATCAAAAAAAAAAAAAAGTATTTTCTGGGAAAAAGGAAGAAAGGAAAGAAGAAAATATTTACAAATCAGATTTATACAGCACTCAAAATATATCTCAACTTCAGAAATATTAAAGTGCTCAAAATTGTACATATTAGAATAGACACATGGGCATTTCAAAAGTATGACAACAGCACTGACAGATACACAAGGATTATACAGAAACAGTACAAAGGATAGTGTGGTTAACTCTATCCTGGTGACAGACTAAGGCAGGAAGAATTGAAAACTAATTCGATTTTTAAAAGGAAAACAATACTTCACCAAGCAAAGGAGAGGGAATTGGGGGTGTTTTTAAGGAAAGAAAAACACCATAAAGCACAGGGATACAAAACTAGATTTAATATCCAGGTGTCTGTACACACAGTAGTTCTACGTAGATAACATATCTCAAACAATATGAGGGTGGGAGAAGGGAGAGTCAGCAGAGTTTATGTGTTGCTAGGGAACTTGGAATTTATCCTGCAGACCAAGGGTTAGCAAACATTTTCTGCAAGGGACCAGATAATAAATATGTTAGCCACATGATCTCTGCCGCAACTACTCAACTCTGCCATTGTATTGCAAAAGTAACCTAGACAGTGTGTCAGTGAGTGAGAGTAGCTGTGTCCCAATAAAGGTTGTTTACAAAAACAGATGGCAGTCTGAATTTGGCCCATGAGCTCTTTCCCCAGTCCTCTAGGTCTCCAATCTGAAAATTTACATATTGATTTATGTGTAATTTGTATTCATTCATTTTATAAATATATATATTCTATCATATATAGGTATAGGTATGCACATATAACATCTCAATAGTATATATATATAGACATATGTTTCATGATATATATAACACTAGCATGGATATATAACAAGTTTGAATACATAGTATGCAAAATATTAAGGCATACATGTATAAATATATACGTGTGCATGTGTATATTTCATGAAACATGTATTTGGTATGGAGACACACATGATATTTTGTTATGTTTCATAATATATATACATGTATAAAACGTTAATAAAGATAAATATACATATATACATAGGCATACACACATATATCACATATAAATAAAACATTTACCAAAAAAATTTGAAACATAAAGTATAAAATATAAATAGCATTACAAATGCTCCATCTTGGAGAACACTTGGGTCAGTATAGGATCACAGTTAAGACCTCAAGTTTGGAAAAGAAAAGATTTAGGTCTCCTACTTCCCACATGTGTGATCTTGGGAAAGTTAGTCTCTTAGTTCTTCAAACCTTTTATCATAATACTTAAAACAGAATAAGAATAGTACCCTTGTCATAGAGGTGCAACACAAATTAAGAGAGACAATGTAGTAAGAGTTTAATAAATTGTAATGAGAGGTTTTAATCAAGAGAATAATCAGTTTGTGTTTTAGAAGGGTATCTTTAGTAGTAAAAAGAAGACAGTCTACAGAGGAGCCAGAATAAGTTTAGACAGGTTTTAAAAATACTACAGGTAAGATGAAGCATGCCCAAGCTGGAGCAGTAGAGATAAGAAAGAGAATGGGGCAAATTCAAGAGAAATTAGGATGTACAAACAGGCACGATGTGGGGACTAATTAGAAGGAGGAAAGAAGGAATACTTTTGATATTCTCCATATTTTAGTATTGAATGGAAGATGATGCTTTCATTTGAGACAGGAAAGAAAAACAGGATTTGAGGAAAGGATACATTCACTTGTAAAGCTACTGACTGAGCTTTCTGTGGAATACCAGATGAAGACATCCAATGAGCAACTCCATCAGAAGAGTTGAAGATTAGGAGAGTGAGTAGAGATAGATTTAGGAATTATCATTTACAGGTGATAACTAAAGCATAAGATTAAATAACAACCCCTTGGGAATGAACTAAGTAAGAAAAGTCATGACAGACTACTATACAAAATCAACATCTGAAAGACAAACTGTGAACAAAGCGAAAAGATTCAAATGAAAATAATAAAAACGACCAGGGCAGAAGAATTAGGAAAAGAAAACCGGCAACAGTGACAGAAGTAATGAAAAGATTCTTTGAAATTGACTGAGGAGGTCACTAGTAAACCAAGCAAAGTCAATTTTAGAAACAGAGGTGGAAACCATTGTGCAGTGCATAGAAAAGTCAACAGCAGCTGGAATGTGATGAGTGTGGTTTCTTATGTAGGATTGTCAATAAATAATACAAATATTCTATAAAGATTTTTCAACTCTAGGATGGTTGAAAAAAAGTGAAGAAATCCATCATCACACTGATAAGAGAACTTTCAGATATTTTTTAAAAACCTGGTAAATGGTTCAGAAAAGTCACATTTTTCTGGTTCTCAATGATTTATACAAGAAATAACTAGATTTTATGAGGTATCAAAACATACAACAAATATGTCAGTCTTTTTCCAACAATTCCTATGTGCATCTTTATGAAATTTGATGAATAATCTAATAGTTTAGAATTTTATTTTTTTAATTTGATGTCAAATGCTATCTAAATGATAATATCACATGAAACTTAAGTGAACTTAATGGCATATAAATACATGGTTAGTTTGTTCCCACCAAATCACATGTTGAAATTTGACCCCTTGCCGGGCTCGGTGGCTCAGCCTGTAATCCTGCGCCTTTGGGAGGCTGAAGTGAGTGGATTGCCTGAGTCCATGGGTTCGAGACCCGCCTGGGCAACTTGGTGAGACCTCATCTCTACAATAAATAAAAAATGAGCCAGGCGTGGTAGTGCGCGCCTGTAGTTCCAGCTACTTGGAAGGCTGAGGCGGAAGGATCGCCAGAGCCCAGCAGGTCGAGGCTGCGGTGGCTGGGAGCGGCCACCGCACTCCAGTCTGGGTGACAGAGTGAGACTCCAACTCAAAAAAAAAAAAAGAAAAGAAATTTGACCCACAGTGTGACGGTGACGGTAGAGGGGGTCCAGGTGGAAGTTTTAGGCTATGGGGTCAGATGTCTCATAAATGCCTTGGTGCCACTCTTGCAACAGTGAGTTCTTGCTCTCGTGAGAATGGATTGGTTCTCAAGGAAATGAATTAGTTCCAGGAAGAGTGAGTTGTTATAAAGTCAGGCTGCCTCTCAGATTTGGTCCTTGCACACGCATCCATTCCTCCTTGGACCACCTTCGCCTATGCAGTACAAAACTCACCAGAAACCAAGCAGATGCCAGAGCCATGCTTCTTTATAGTCTTACTTATTTACAAAGTAATTCTCTTTTTAAAATGTTTCCTCTTCTGAATAAATCATTTTTGTGAATTTTTAAAAATAAAATAAAATAAGTTTCCCAGCCTCAGGGAACACAAAATGGACTAAGACAGTATATTGGAATAGCTTTGTCAAAATTTGTCATCCACTGAAGATTTTCTGACATGGAAATTCTATCTTAAGAAACATCTTGAGTTATGTTTGGAAAACCTGGGGAAATATTTACCTTCCTTAAATTTAATAGTACATCAAACGCTTATAAGAGATTTTCTAATAATTTGTGCATTTGAGTAGAAAACCTCATTATTGGAATAATATATAAACTGAGTAATCTGGACTCACTTGTTAAAAACCATTATAAAATCTCAATATTACCATTTTTGTTGAAACTGGACTTACATCCAGAGTCATTAAAGTACACAATTTACATTAACACCACTACTGAGAAAGTAGTCTAACATTCTTCAAACACAAAATGTTCTTACTACACATAAGAAAAAGCCAGTGACCACTTCCATGATGTGATTACCAATCTCTAGATAACAAAAAAGACAATTATAATTTTAACTTTTCATATACTGAAAATTGAGACAAGGGGAATTGAAAAATAGACAGGCATTTACAAGTATAAAGACAAGTACACATGCACATAAACACACACACACAAACACACGCACACACACACAAACACACGCATTTAGGCATGGGAACAGGAAGCTAGTAAAGCTTCCACTACTGCCTTTGAAGCCTCTTTCTAAGAGAAAGTCCCATGTATAAGCAGATGTGACAACCAAAATGGTTCTGAAAATCAAGCAAAGAAGACATAAAATTGGATACTAAATTACAATCACCTTCTCTGAAAACTTTACAATAGATCAAGAAATAGGTATCATAACATGAGTAGAACACAAGGAATGCAATTCTGAGAATGAAAAGTATTTTCTAAGAAAGATCAGCAACAGCCCACACATTTACAAATCAGAATTATACCTCTCCTAAACCTCCAGTCATCTCCTTGTTCATCCTGATGGTTCGACTGTTGCCTGGAAATCTGAGATACTTGATGCTGTAAACCCTTTCGATCACCTTCTGCTTTCGTGAGTTGTGTACGCAGTTCTTCTACCTAAATATATATAGTCAAAAATCAAATTTTTATCAGTTTTCAAAATCAGAAAAATAAAATTGAATTTACAAATTATTATAAATTATTTTCACAGGGGAAAAAAATCATACTTGAAATGGACTACTGTAAACACAAATAGAAATCAAGTTAATCTCCTTGCTATGCGAAGCACAGTAGAACAGTTTCTTGTTCCATTTCTTCATTCTTTCCATTCTCTCCACAAACAATGAGTGTTTTTTCATTCCCTGTGTCTACTGTGACAAAAAATTTGACCACATTTTCATGAAATCCCATATTTTGTCCCAGTTCATTCTACTGCTATTAACCTAAACCACCCCCAATTAAGTACTGTATGTTTTTATACTTTTCTATTTTTCACCTATCTTCTTTCATGTGAACATAGTCTATTAATTGTTAAATTCAAGTGAAATGATCATAATTTAGCACATTTTATACCAAAATAATGCTCAGATAAGCAATAAATGCTATTGAATAAGCTATAAATTTCTTGAAGCCAAGAACTGTCTTATTCATCTTTATATTTCTAGAGACTACCAAATTATCTAGTACATAGAAGATACATCCCAAATGACCACTAAACAAGTTATCAGTGGCAAAAAGATTCAGCTAGAGACACAAAGACAAACTGAACAAAGAAATATCTTCCTTCAAACACTGAAATTAGAGATTACAAATCAGAATGGAATTTAATACAAAAATAAACTTCCAAAAAAGAAAGTCTGAACCCTGCCAAAATTCATTCATGTGACCATAGGCTGTAGAACAAAGTCATTGAACGTTTTTAAAGGTTTTCTAAAACAGGTGTTGTGGTATATTTTCAGCACCAATTGTCAACAAGTAATACTCTTTCTGAATATCTATAATGCCTGACATCTTTGCATACCCTAGCATAATATGTAGGTGAGTTATGTAACACAAACCTCGAAACATAAGAAGATATCATTGCAGTTTGTATTAAACGCAGGCAGAGAAGCAGTTAGAAACCCATATGTCCTTATCCTATGTATGTAAGATGGTTATTTAAAGCCATTGAACTTTAAATATCAGAAGCGCCAAACTCCCATTAGTGGACTGCAAAATGATGTTTTCCATAAAAACCAAACCTTATTTTTGGTTAAAAGGGGCATCTTGAAAACAAAAATTAAGGATAATGATGTATTCAAAGAGACTTGAACATGCCAAGGTCTTTTTACGTATTTTACTTCCTCCCTTACTCTCCAATGCCTGCTTGAATAAAATTTAGCTCCTGGGAAAATTTTACCTTACATATCCAATCTTACTTTTACACTGCTCAAGCTAAGAGAGATAAATAGTAAGTTGTAGCAGTAATCAGTGAGATACACTGTCATAGTGGGAACTTCAGCCAGTGTTTTCTACTAGTTTTCTCAGAATCTTCCTGAAAGGATTTTATCTTTTGCTTACGTGTGCTAATATACATTACTTAGGAAAACAATGTATCTAGACCTACTTTTTTTTCCCCTTTCAAAAAGACATTTAAGTAGAAAAGAAGACTCAATCTTGATGTAAAGTAAAAGCATATAGTCATAGCTTGTATAGACTTACCTGATGCAAAAGTGTTTCTCTGCTGCCTTCTGATTGATTCAGCAACCTTCGAGAAAGTTCCAATTCCTGTTCAAGCTAAAGTGTCAATAAAGAGCAAAGAAAAATGTCCAATGGAGCAGAAGATAACAACATTATTATGAACACTATTTGTTTATTTTAAAGATATAGGGTACAATTCAGGATTAGGTGAACAAGTGGTCATTATAGCTTGGGTCTCCCTTTGGTCTCCACTTCACCTGGTTTGAGATCAGGTACTTTTAGGTTATGTGCCCTCCCCCACCCCACCCCCTAGCAGTTTCCAGCTATTGCTAATCCCTTTCTTATAGTATTATGTGAACACACTTTGAGAGGAGAAAAATGGAATGGTTTACAGAAGATATTTATAGCTAATGTGAAAGAATAAATATCTCACCATACACATTTATCGATACTTCCATTAAAATAATGTTAACTGTATAACATAAAGTGAACTAGACCGGGCCTCAGGAAGTCTGGGATCTAGTCAGTTTCATTTCAACTTGTAATCTAGTCCAGTCTAGTCTTTAGAACTCCATTCAGTCATCTCTAAAACAAGAATTTTGTATTAGACAGTCTCTGAGATTCCTTACAGTTCTAAAGCATTTTAATTCTAAAGCAATTTTTTTAAGTCTGCTTTTTTTTTTAATTTTAAAGATATGGGGTACAATTCAGGATTAGGTATGCAAGTAGTCATCGTACAGATAAAGTTTGGGCCTCCTTTAGGTTCCCACTTTGCCTGGTTTGAGATCAAGTACCCTTATTAACGTAGTGTCCCCACCTCCCTCCCCTGGTAGTATCCTGCTACTGCTAATCCCTTTGTTACAGTATTATGGTAAATGTTAAGGGTCCACTTATGAGTACATGTGGTACTCAGTTGTTTCTGTGATAGATCACTAAGTATTATAGACTCTGAATCCATCCAAGTTGATACAGAGTCCATATGCTTGTCCTTCTTTATGGCTGCATAATATTCCATTGTGTATATATACCACATTTCTTTAGTCCAGTCCACTTTTGATGGGCAGCATAGTTAGTTCCATGTTTTTGCTATTGTGAATAGTGCTGCAGTAAACATACGTGTGCATGCATCTTTTTTGTAGAATTATTTGCATTCCTCCGGTTATATTACCAGTGGGGGATTGCTGGGTCCTATGGTAGGTCAATTTCTAGTTCTTTTAGAAATCGCCACACTGTTTTCCATAGAGGTTGTACTAGTTTGCATTCCCACCAGCAGTATAGAAGTATTCCCTTCTCTCTACAACCTTGCCAGTATATGTCGTTTCTGTTTTATTAATGATGGCCATTCTTACTGGAGTTAGGTGGTACTCAATGTCTCAATGTGGTTTTGATTTGCATTTCTCGGATGATTAGTGAGGATGAGCACTTTTTCATGTGTCTGTTGGCTGCCCATATATCTTCTTTTTAGATGTGTCTATTCATATCTTTTGCCCACTTTTTAGTGGGGCTGTTTGTTATCTTCCTTTTAACATGTTTGAGTTCCTTGTAGAAACTAGAAGTTAGGTTTGTCGGATATACAATTGACAAATATTTTTTTTCCCATTCTGTGGGTTGTCTCCCCACTCTCTTGATAGTTTCTTCTGCTTTGCAGAAGATTTTCAGTAGCTTTTCAGTTTAATGGGGTCCTACTTGTCTATCTTGTCTCTTATGGCATGGACATCCAGGGTTTTGATCAGGAATTGGTTGCCTACTCTGATCCCAATAAGGGTATCCCCTGCATTTTCTAAGATTCTTATAGTTTGAGGTTTTACGTTTAAGTCTTTGATCCATTTAGAGTTGATTTTTGTGTATGGTGATAGGTAGGGGTCTTGTTTCAATCTTCTGCAAGTGGTTAGCCAGTTTTCCTAGCACCATTCACTGAATACATTCTCCTCTCCCTAGTGGTTGTTGGTGGAGGCCTTGTCCAAGATGACTTGGTTGAGAAATTGAGGTTTTGCTTCCGGAATCTCTATCCTGATCCATTGGTCTATATGCCTGTTCTTGTACCAATACTAGGCTGTTTTCATTATTGTAGCCTTATATTAAATTTTAAAGTCTGGAAGTGTGATACCGCCTGCTTTGTTTCTTTTGCTAAGAACTGTTTTGACTATTCATGGTCGTTTATGTTTCCATATGAATTTCTGTATTGTCATTTCCAGTCAGGTCTGAGAAGAATGATGTTGGTAATCTAATGAGTACTGCTCTGAATCCACAGATTGCCTTGGGTAGGATAGACATCTTAATAATGTTGATTCTTCTTATCCATGAGCATGGAATATTTTTTCATTTGCTTGTGTCTTCTTGGATTTCTTTGTGCAGTGTTTTTTAGTTTTCATTGTAAAGGTCTTTCACTTCTCTGGTTAGGAAGATGCCAAGGTATTTTATTTTTATTTTTGTTACTACTGTGAATGGGATTGTGCTTTTTATTTGGTTCTCTGCCTGTTTGTTGCTGGTGTATAAGAAAGTGACTGTCTTTTGCACATTTATTTTGTACCCCAAGGCTTTGCCAAAGTCCTTTATCAGTGCAAGGAGGTTTTTGGCAGATTTTCTTGGATTTCCGAGGTATAGGATCATATCATCAGCAAAGAGGGATAACATAATTTCCACTTTTCCTATCTGGATACCCCTGATTTCCTTCTCTTGTCTAATTGCTCTAGCTAGGACCTCCAATGTTGAATAGGAGGGGTAAGAGTGGGTAGCCTTATCTTGTTCTGGTTTTCAGGGGAAGTGCTTCCAGTTTCTGTGTATTTAGCAATATGCTAGCTGTGGTTTTATTGTAGATAGCATTTACTATTTTGAGATATGTTCCTTTTGTGCCTAGGTGTTCAAGGTTTTTTATCAAGAAGGGATGCTGCCCCACAATATCATAATAAAAAATATTGATTATTAAAAAAAAGAAAAAAAAAGAAGGGATGCTGGATTTTATCAAAGCAATTTTTTCTTTAAATTAAAACATGCAATGTCAAATAAACTAAATTAGGATAAATCACTCTATGAAAAACATGCCTGCACATGCATGTTTATTGCAATATTCACAATAGCAAAAACATAGAATTAACCATGCTGCCCATCAAAAGAGAACTGGAATTAAATATATATATATGGTACACATACACAATGGAAGATTATGTAACTATAAAGGACAAAATTATGTACTTTGCAGCAACTTAGATAGACTTAGAGTCTACAATACTGAGTGAACTATCAAAAAAACAAAGAACTGAGTACCGCATGTTCTCACTCATAAGCAGACCTTGAACAATTGCCATAATACTGTAAGAAAGGGATTGGCAGTATTGGGAAACTGCCAGGGGATAGGCGGGGCAAGATTGGCAGCAGTGGGAAACTGCCGGTGGGGGGGAGGGCATACCTCATCAACAAGGGTACTTGTATAACAAACATTTGTATACCTAACCCTGAATTGTACTCCACATCTTTAAAATAAAAACATTTTTTAAAAAGAATAACTATAGGGTTCCAATGATTCAAAGTACATTTCATCTAACTGATGATTTCTTATATTTCTAAGATATTCCTTAAATGTGTTAATTTCTAAATTCAGAATGAAGACATTTCCTTAATAATTCTGCCATTAGGCTGGGTGCAGTGACTTACGCCTGTAATCCCATTGCTTCAGGAGGTTGAGTCAGGAGTTAAAAACCAGCCTGGGCAACATAATGAAACACCCTGTTTCTACAAAAAAATTAGTTGGGCATAGTGGTGCCTGTAGTTACAGCAAGAGGCTACAGTGAAAAGTTCATTAACAAAACGAACAGCCTATTAAAAAGTGGGCAAAAGACAAAAACAGACACTTCTCAAAAGAAGATATACAGGCAGCCAACAGACACACGAAAAAGTGCTCAGCCTCATCATCAGAGAAATACAAATCAAAATCACATTGAGATACCACCTAACCCCAGTAAGAATGGCCATCATTAATAAAACAAACAACAACAGATGCTAGCCAGGATGCAGACAAAAAGGAACACTTCTACACTGCTGGTGGGAATGCAAACTAGTGCAACCTCTTTGGAAGACAGTGTGATGATTTCTGAAAGAACTAGAAATTGATCTTCCATATGACCCAGAAATTTCCCTATTGGGAATATACCTGGAGGAACTCAAATCATTCTACAAAAAAGATACCTGCACAAATATGTTTGGTGCAGCTCTATTCACAATAGCAAAAACATGAAACCAACCATGTTGCCCATCAAAGCTGAACTGAATTTTAAAAATGTGGTACATATACACAATGGAATATTATGCAGCCATAAAGAAGGACAAACATATGAACTTCACAGTAACTTGGATGGATTTAGAGTCGATCATACTCAGTGACCTATTACAGAAACACAGAACAGAGTACCATATGTGCTCACTCATAAGTGGACCTTGAGCAATTATAATACTGTAAGAAAGGGATTAGCAGTAGTGGGAAACTGTCAGGGGAGGAGAGGTGGGATTGGCAATTGAGGGAAACTGCTGGGGAGGGAGGGGCACACCTCATCAACAAGGGTACCTGCATAATCAAGGTTTGTATACCTAACCCTGAATTGTACCCACATTTTTATAATAATAAATAAATAAAATAAATAGAAAATAAAAAAATACGGCCATTAGATAAATATCTGTAAATAATGTGGTCAGTCAGATCACTAAATACCCTACAAAGTCTGAATATGCCTACTTGATTTCAAGGTGAAAAATGTGATAGAGGGATGGGACACAAGTTTGCTAAAAATTTAATACTTACAAGAACTAGACTTGTTTGCATTTTGTAAGAGTAAAGATGTTTTATAAAATCACAAATTTACATTAGGATGCTTTTAAATGCTTAGATTTTTCTTTCTTTTTTTTTCTTTGTATTTTAAAGATATGGGGTACAATTCAGGATTACATAATACAAATGGTCATTGTACAGGTAAAGTTTGGGTCTCACTTTGGTCCCCACTTCACCTGGTTTGAGATCAGGTACCCTTATTAATGAAGTGTGCTCCCCTCTGAGTGCTTAGATTTTTAATGCTTATCCTAAATTATCTTTTCATTTGACCAAATTACTCACTACATATTAGTCCCTTAAATAACTGTGCTTGTGAAAGGAAACCATCAAGAGAGAGAGAAGACAACCCACAGAATGGGAAAAAATATTTGCCAACTGTATATCTGACAAAGGTCTAGCATCTAGGATCTATAAGGAACTCAAACGTGACAAAAGGAAAAAAACAAACAACCTATTAAAAAGTGGGCAAAAGATATGAATACACACTTCTCAGAAGAAGACATACAAGCGGCCAACAAATATATGAAAAAATGGCCTGCCTCACTAATCATCAGCGAAATGCAAATCAAAACCACAATGAGATACCACCTAACACCAGTCAAGATGGTCATCATCAGTAACAAAAAACAACTGATGCTGGAGAGGATACGAGGAAAAGGGAATGCTTCTATACTGTGGGTAGGAGTGTAAACTGGTACAGCCTCTGTGGAAAACAGTGTGACGATTTCTAAAAGATCTAAAAATCGACCTTCCATACAACCCCGCAATCCCCCTTCTGGGAATATACCTGGAGGAATTCAAATCACTCTATAAAAGATACTTGCCCATGCATGCTTATTACACATTATTCACAATAGCAAAAACATGGAACCAACCATGCTGCCCATCAAAAGTGGACTGGATAAAAAAATGTGGCACATATACATGATGGAATTTTATATAGCCATAAAGGACAAAATTATGAATTTCATAGCAACTTGGATGGATTTAGAGTCTATCATACTCAGTGATCTACCACAGAAACAAAGATCTGAGTACCACATGTACTCACTCATAAGCAGATTCTGACCATTTATCATAATACTATAAGAAAGGGATTGGCAGTAGGGGGACACTGCTGGGGAAGGAAGTACATAACATCAACAAGGATACCCCATCTAAAACCAGGTGAAGCAGAGACCAAAGGAAGGTCCAAACTCTACCTGTACAATTACCACTTACGTACCTGACCCTGAATTGTACCCCACATTCTTACAATTTAAAAAAAAAATACACGTGGAAAAAATAAATTATGCATGTGGTAGGTGTGTCTATCAAAGAGTATGAGGGGGCCTTGTGGTGAGGGAAATGTTCTGTAGCCTGATGGTGGCAGTGTTAACAAGAAGCTACACGAGACAAAAATAGATAGAACTACACATGCTCAACACACAAATGAGTGCATATAAGGCTGGTAAAACTCATATAAGTTCTGTAGAGTATAGCAATGCCAATTTCCTGGTTTTGATATTGAATGGCAATTATGCAAAATGTTACCATTGATGGAAGCTGGGTGCCTGGGACTTCTTTGTAGTTTGTTTTGCAACATCTTATGAATCTATAACTATTTCAAAATAATTTTAATCTATGTAACTTTTAAAAAATTATATATATGACTCATAAAATAAATGTCATGTAAAAAAATATATGTGGGATCACAGAATCCACATCAAATATTATTCTCTCATCTTCATGAAAAAATAAAGAGGGAAGAAATCACACTTCAGGCAAAATGGCTTTGAAATCAACCAAAGCCCATAATGGTCATATGGGCTGTGTAACATTGGCAGGTTCAACTATCAAAGGGAAAATTTGATGACTTGACATACTATGATTATCCCAAAGGCAGCATGGCAGCTGCCTTTACACAGGTTGGTAAAATAAAATAAAGGAGAAAATGGTAGGTAGAAAAAGTGTATGGAGTATACAGCAGAACAAATTTTTACTTCATCATTCATACCTTGGGCTCATCCTTAAATCTATTCATTTGCAAATTGAGGACAGTTGTTTGGTCTCTGGATTCCTTTCTAACTCTAAAGTCTAGGCTCTGTGTGTTCACCAGCACATGTATATGTCAAAAGTCCTTAACACTTAATGAGAAGAGAAGATGTTTTCAGAACTAAGCTGCTAACTATACCTATCCTCCATAATAAAAATAAATATAACCACAATTTTCAGCCTTCAAAGGACAGGTCTTTCCAAACCCTGCAACAAAGTCAAATCTTTTATATGTTCCCAGCAAGAAGTTAAATTCAACCTCACAAACAGGAAAGTGGCCACAGATGACAAGGTGGCAAATGACCTGTGTATCTGCTAGCAAGGGCAGTAGTGGAGTGGCAAAGCTGTTGAACCAGGTGACTCCACATCTAAAGAGAAAGCCTTTGCAGACTTTCCAAGGCACTCCACAAATATCACTGGCCCCAAACCACATCATTCTTTGAAAGATAACTTTCAAAATCTTACTTGATTCTTCTCAGTTTCCGTTTGTCTTAGCTTATTTTTTATTACTTCCTCGTTGTCATCTGTTTTAGCTTCTTGTTTCTTTAGCACCTAGAATGAAAGAGGTGAAAAAAAGCATTATTTCAAAATATGTATAAAACTAAAAGACACCACTAGGATCTACCACTGATTTATTAAGACTGAGGAGAAAATGGCTATGAGTTTCACAAAATCAATAAATAAATTATAACCTACTCATTCAATGAGGCCCTCAGAACACTTCAGTGGAGATTAAATATAAACTTCCAGGTCTTCCTAATTAATTGTCACTTAGTTTCTTTTCTCCCCATCCCTGAAAATTGTGTTACATATTTAGAGAGCTTAGATAGCTAAGTTTTCTTGGGAAAAAAACAAAGCTTACTGCCTCTTATACTTAAGGGTCATATGATCTGTGCAAGTATTTAGACATATTACCAAAAACTAGCTTACTAGTTTTTCAACTTCTAAAAAATATTATCAACAACATAAAACATGCTTGTTGCATAATTATTACACATATGACATTTTATCACAACACATAACTGGCTTCTCAAACTATATTTCACCTAGACAAAAAAAGAAAGTATTCTTTTCTAGTTTCTCTTCTTTAGTAAAACTTTAGGAAGACCTTTAAGAAAATACAAATTTCAAAAGTTAACCACAAAAGTGTTTGTTTTGATATATTTCTATGTTAAAATAAAATTAAACTTAAAGAAAAAATTATACTTGAAGGAGTCTTTCACCTGAAAAGTATTCCATTCACTTAAAAGAATTTTTTTCTGACAATTTTAGCATTTAGACTTAGCAAGGTGAATATATAAAGCTTTACAAATTGAGAAAAACCAAGCTGCCCAGATCTTTTCCAACAAGATCAATAGAAAAAGAATTATTAAGCAAGCAGCAAAATATATTAAAAACTGCTTTGATGCAAGTATATCTATCATAATAAATTCTATTAAATAGCCAAGAAATACTTTCAAAATGCATTTACTATGTGTTAGGCAACTGTGCTAGGGGCCATTAATATAAGCGTATATAAAATAAGCACAGCCCCTATCCATGAGCTTATAGCTCCCTCTGCCATGGCTCCTACTCTCACTACCAAAATACCAATTGAATAAAAGCACAGAGAAGTGCATCAAAATGAAAAATCATTCTGATTTGAGTATAATAATAACAACAGTTTTAATATATTTAATATATCCAAACATTCCTCTTTCTCTTAAATATATGAAACACATTACATGTATTAAATACATACATTTAATCCTCATTATAATCCCATGAGTTATTACTAAGCCTACTTTATTAAGGAGGAAATTGGGGCACATGGAGTTGAAAAACTTGCCCAAGGTCACACAGTGAGTGATGGAACAGGATGTAGACTCTGGCTGCCCCTGAGCTACTGTGTGACACTGCCTCTCCATGATGAAATAATACCAATACAGGGTAGTGGCGAAGACTAACTAGTTTGATACTTGTAAAACACATAGGACAATACCTGGTACATAACAAATAAGCAATAAAATTATTATTACTACTGATTTATTGATATTGATAAAGTATTTTTAAAAATTGGAATTCAGGTAGTTACCAAATGATTTTGCTGTTTGATATTTGTTCTTTATTTTAGGGCAAGTAGAATTTGTAAAAATAGTAAATTATGTATACATAACCTATTCCATTTTGGCTGGTGGGATGCGTGTATACATTTTTTCAGAATAAAATTATCCCAAAACTTAAAAATTATTGCTGATCTCTTTATTCTTTCCATGCTTTCTCAGTATATAAAGTATATAAAGATATAAAGAAGTTGTTACTACCTTTTTTAATCAATTCATTTAATAAACTTTTGAACTATCTTGTTCCATAATATCATCATCCCAACCTAGTCCCAATTTTTTCAGTTTCATTGAACTATAAACAGCCAGTCTACACTCTAGATTCAAACTCCTAAGCAGAAGGCACTCCAAATCAGCATACAGTAAAGGTTCACCTAAACCAGTGAGGTCACTAAGGCCATAGCACAAAAAGGACAGAAGGAGTAAACAGCAACAAATAAGAAGGATTCACCATAGCAAAAACACGAAATCAACCCAGAAGTCCATCAAAAGTGGACTGGATTAAAAAAAAATATGATAAATATACACAACAGAGTATTACACAGTCAAAAAGAAGAGCAAAATCATGTCCTTTGCAGCAACATGAATGCAGCTGAGACCATCAAACTAAGTGAACTACCACACAAACAAAAAACTGAATGCCACATGTTCTTACTCATAAGTGGGCCCTGATCACTGGTGATATGAGCACGAAAGTAGGAAAAGCAGACGCTGACACAGCTAAAGGAGGGAGGGAAGGAGGAGGGATAAAGGGGCACACAACCCATACTGGGTACCAGGTCCACTATTTAGGGAAGAAAGGGCCCACTAGAAGCCCAAACCTCACCTGTACACAATTTACTTATATAGTAAATCCTCACATGTACCCCACAACTCTATAAGGAAAAAAAGGGGGGTGTTGTCCCAAAACAAGAGTCATTTCCTTCCAAAGCTGAGTTCAAAATCTAACTTCAATTAGTGGTTGCTACAATAAAATTATTCTTCCAATGTGATATAAAATTATTTCCTCCTCTGTCCTCTGCCACCTCATGCAAGAGAAGCAGGAAAAGTCACCTACGGAGCTTTTAAAACTTGACTTACACTCATGCTACAATCTTGAGTTTAACTTACTTAAAATTTAAACACAAAAAAAACTCTCCAAAAAAGAAACTCCTCCAGTTTTTAACTGGAATTAATCAATTTCTGCTCCTTTCCTATGATTTCCTAAAATTAAGTTTTATAAATCCTATATGTTATATTGAAAAAATAACAAAGATGTGTTACCTTTTCCCAAGTGTTCACTATATTTTAATTCATATTATATATACTCTTTTTTTTTTTTGAGTCAGAGTCTCACTCTGTCACCCAGACTGGAGTGCAGTGGCATGATCATGACTACTGCAGTCTCAATCTGCTGGGCTCAGGTGATCCTTCCGCCTCAGGGCCCCAAGTAGCTGGAACTATAGGCACACACCACCATGCCCAGCTAATTTTTTATCGTAGAGATGAGGTCTTGCCACATTGCCCAGGCTGGTCTCAAACTCGTGGGCTCAGGCAGTCCTCTCACCTCGACCTCCCAAAATGCTGGGATTATAGGCATGAGCCACCATGCTCAGTCTCATTTTTTTTACTTATTCAAATAGACAACCATTCAAAATTTTATTCAATTCAAAATAAGCATCATTTATCAAGAGGTTGACATTTCCAAAAAGTAATACAAAAGTTTCCATGTCACTATGGTGTAAGTTTCAGAAAGCCCAAGATTTTATCTGCCATAATCACATTTTATTTCTAAGACAGTGATTGGCACATCTTAGGTAGCAAACATATGCTATTGAATGTGTGAAGAAATATCCCTTTATAATCTCTAACAACTTCACTTTGCAATTCACCATCTATGGCCTTCACACACTAGCAGGCCTTCCAGATTTCTCCCATCTTTCTTAACCACATTTTCTCAAGCACCAAGTTGCCTTCTTTGAAAAACTGTTGTCACTGCGTGGTGATATGGAAAAAATATTTTTGTGTTTAAGTCAAAGACAGCAAACCTCTTCCTGTTTCCATAACTCATCTGTTGTGGACATACATGTAGAGTAAATATACTCTTGACTTTAGGAATTCCTGTGTAAATACCATGATTATGTGACACTTGTTTTAGTTCACACATATCTAATACTAAAATAATAATATCTAGGGCTGACATGATAATAAAATAATTTAATATATGTAAAATATTTAGAATAGCTCTTGACATATAACAAGTACTCAATGAATGTCAATTATTACTACAAATTAATAATTATTTATTGTCAATATTTGTTAAAGAAATTCAGAACTTTTAATACAGAGCATTACCTTTCCTTTAAAAAAAAAAAGAACTCATCATTTTAGTCTTTTCTTCAGGAAAATAATCTCCTGAATGGGTTTTAAATATTTGTCTTTGGAAATAATTTAAGGTTCAGAGTTCCTACACACCCTTTACCCAATTTCCCCTAAAATTAACATCTTACATAACCTCAGTACATTTATCAAAACTAGACATTAACTTTGTACCAACCATAAAGCTACAGACTTTACTCGAATGTCACTAGTTTTTCCACTAATCTCATCTGTGTTCCAAGATCCAATCCATGATATTATACTACATTTGATCAGTTTTTCTCCTCAGTCGCTTATGATCTGTGAAAGTTTGGCTTTCCTTGTCTTTTATGATCTCAATATTTTCTAAGAATACTAGTCATATATTTTGTAGAATGTCCCTCAATTCGGCTTTGTCTGATGTCGTCTCATGATTGACAGAATTTATAAATTTGGGGGAAGAATAACACAGAGTTAACATGCCCTTCTAATAGCATCACATTGTGGGTTATATGACATCAGCATGACTCCTATATTAACCTTGAATGCTTGATTAAGATAAGGTGATGTCTGCCAAGTTTTTCTACCATAAGGTTAGTATTCTTTCCTTTCCATACTATATTTGTGAGTAGAGAAACACTAAATCAGTCCACTTTCAGGGAAAAAAGAATTAAGCTCCACCTCCCAGAGGCAGAGTATCAAAAAATGTGTTGCAATATGTTAAAACAAAGTAATCAACGGATACTTTAAGATATACTTTAAGGCTGTGCAAGTATAAAGCTTCATCCACCAATCTGAACTCAGGACCAGGTCCATAGCTCAATATAGCAGATATTGAGTCTTTCTTGGCCTAAAAAATTTCCCCCCATCAGACCTTATAATCTACTGGAAGCCAGGTTCCTAGTAAGTTGAGTTACAAGCCAGAGCCTGCCAGTAAGCAGGATGCTAAACCTCTTTACAATGACCCCAAATACTCTTCTTATACCAAAAATACTAATGAGTGACCCAGACTTTATATGGACTATAAAGGTGGCTGGAGTACACTCATCAGATCTCTATCAAACATGGCCGTTCTCCACCAACCAGGAAGTCACCTTCTTCCCTGTTCCCCTA